TTTTACCTGACGAGTATTAGCACTTCGTTTTCTTCTTGCACTTGCGTCAGTTTCTCCGCAGTAGATTTTGACATTCTGAGCATTGCATTGTGGATTGAAGAGGCAGAAGAACGGAGGAGCATTTGGAGGGGACAAAATAGTTACAAAGCCTTGCTTTAGTTGTTCCTGTACATTGGGATCATTGCAATCTCCTTTGAAATARAACTGTGGTAATGCTTTTATTGCTGCTTCTGATGGATTTGCTCGCTCTAAAAAAACAAAGCTTAATATTTACTTTTTTACTGGGAATATTCATGTGCCAAACGCCATTCCAAAAAAGTACATAAATGTTTTTTTAAGATAAAGAAAATTCTTCGGGTCCTTTGCAACCCTCTCAAATGAGGGCCGCTCAYTCGAGTACAATATTCTTTTAAAGTAATTACAAACMCTGATGTTAKAACTTTTAYTATTTGAAGCCTGACAAGATGATTTTTTAACAGCTTTATTRGCMTTCAAATTTTATCAACTGCGGTTCAATTTTTGCAGGGGACTCAGGACACTTTAGTTTTGCAGTGATCAAAAATACAAAGTGCGCCCTCCGTCTCCGCTATGGCAGTATATATTCTAATGAATATAAAACGAATTATTTGACTTACTTGAGCAGTCAGGCCATTGTTCCCTTGGGTCATGGTCGTTTGTCGGTGACCAAGTATCCCACTTTCCATTTGTACAACTGTATGAACTAGCGGGTTTGTAGACGAAATCATAAGTGTCTCTACATGCTACTGTACAACCTAAGACATTGCCATAATTGATGCATCTTGCTAAGCCATTCTTTGGTGGGMTGAAGGCATTGCACTCGGGCACTGAAAAGGTCAAGAGATTTGTAAGAATTTTTTGAGAAGGTGAAAGGAAAGGACACGAATTCAGTCTAGAATCATAGGGGAGGGAAGGRTGATAGGTGACAGAAGCCACGAATTCCAGAGGATTTAACAACAAAGTGATTTAAGTAACCAGCATCCAAAAGAAAATGAAGGAATCAAGAATGCGCGCGCTAACACTAACATTTAAATACACGTGCTCAAATCCCAATTTTTCCGCGTTTGCGCGAAAAATTAATGTGTAATTGATCGTTTAACATGTTGATTCTYGAACAAAAGTTGCGAGAAAAGTTGATTCGTGTATCATGTATTAAAAGTCTTCGAGTCGTATCGCGGAAAATGGTCGTTGCGAATCGTCCCGTGCGTGCAACATCGGCTTAACCTCAAAGCGCTCGAAGATGCGCACTTTACCCTCAAAGTGCCCCTGTCGTATTACCAGTATTTACAGCTGCAGCTACACAGAATTAACAGAAAGAATTCGAAGCAAACGTGGATATCTTAAAGATTAATTAAACCGTGGACCTCTAGATTGAAGGCCGCGCTCTTACCAACTGAGTTACACTTGCTGCTAAAACAGTGGATAAAAAAAACACACACACACAAAAAAAAAACACACACACACAAAAAAAAAACACACACACACAAAAAAAAACACACACAAAAAAGAAACAACCAGGGATATAGACTAAAGGACAAGCACTTGTACTCACCCTTAAGTTTAATGAAGAATGAACAGTTCACATAAGTRTTAAGAGCCTTGTCTTTGACTGTGTAATCAATAGAATAAACCCCTGGTGCTACCACTAAAGACCCCATTCTGATGTTCGGTCGAGTTTCGGGTGGGATACCAGAATTGTCCGTACAATTGGGTCGTTTCCAGCTTAGTCGAAAGTTGGTGGATTTTGTGACCATCAGTTCTTTACTCGGGGGRCAGAAGCTACAGGTAGGAGGTTCTTTATCTAAAGACCAAGAGTGGATACAATTTTGATAGTTGTTTTAGTCATACTAATGCGTGCAAGATGCATATCCCCTTTGTGTCTGGAAATGAAGCGTGGCATAGCGAGCTCAACATAAAAATCTTGAACTTGTATGAATGTGTTTGTATAATATTTATCTGACCAAGGTTCAATTCCCGCACACGGCGTCGTATTTGAGTAAATCTACTTGTTGCGACAGGTTCTCTCCTGTACTTCGAGGGTTTTTCTCCGGGTTCTCCGGTTCTACTCCCTCAACTAAAAAAGCTAAATTCCATTTCTATCCAGTTAGAAAAGATCCACTCAGTAAAGCCACTGTTAATTCCCAATTTATGCAATATTTTATTGTGGGCGCGATGCTCGCAGCTTTAACAGCCTTGTGTTCGCGCGGTTTTGATATTTGTATTCGTCATCCATTTTTCACCCAATGGCAGCAAGTGAGCATCACGTGAGCAGCACATGATCAGCAAGTGATCAACACGAGAGCAGCACGTGAGTAGCAAATGATCAGCAAGTGATCAACACGAGAGCAGCACGTTTTCAACACGTGAGCAGCACATGAGCAACCAGTGAGCAGCACGTGAACGACATGCAAGAAACACGTGAGCAGCACGCGAGAWGCACGTGAGCAGCAGGCGAGCAGCACGCTAACAGTTAATATGGTTTTCTGATTTATTGATGTCAGTTCTACTTACCAAGGACTTCCACTGTGAAGACACATTTTTCGGAATTGTTATCGCGGTCTGTAACCTGGTACTGGATTTCATTCTTACCAATTTCTAGCAGCTTTGGCAAGTCYAAGCTGGTCTCTTTGTCGTTGATCTTCARGGATACTGAAAACATCTCCTTGGTAACCCCAGGAGCTCCAGCTCGGAGCGARTTGTCATCAAATGTAAAATTCCARTACACAGATGCTGTCTTCTCGCCTGGRTCGTTGGGAACTTGTATGTTAGACGAGCAATTTAACTCCGGAACTTGGTAATCTATGATATCACAAAGAGGCAAGCTTCATGAAAACGCGCATTATTAAAGGGATGGAAAACGCGSGCGCGTGCTGTGTGCAGTTTTAAAGCACGCCGCAGAGATTTTTAGAACACGAGACRAGTACTAGAAGAAGCGAGACAGCAATGTTTAAGTGTTATACATATTCCTATCAAATTTGCAGCTGCATAAGTTGCTTGACCTACAAACCAAAATGGAGGGCAGAAAAATACCTCTGCTAGCAGGGTAAAAGCCCTCGCCCCCARCCAATGAGAACAGCAAATTCATAACAGTTATATTTTAAAGCTATATTAATTTTTACAGACGTTCTTCCCTCAATCGAGAAAKTAYTAGACCAGTTAGAAGTACCTTTACATACACGCGGCTCTCCGGTCCATGTGCCTGTCTTGTAATCACATGTTCGAGGATTTGTTGTATCATAAATTGTGCCCGGTGGCATGTAATATCCATGCGGACAATTGTGCTTGCATTCCTTGTCAAACTTTTGCGCTTTCTCGTCACATTGGAATTCTTTGGGAGTGTAGAAGCCAATGGAAACCTTTGGTAACTTTTCACATCTAACCTCTGTGAATAAGAAATTGCAATATTGTCGGAAAAAGCATATTTACATTTTTTTAGATGTTTGGTTCAATGACAATAGTTTTACGACTAAAGACTAATTCGTACAGGTTTAGCCTCGTTTAAGAGAAAAATTTTTCATGCGAAAATATCAGCGATTGGCATGCGCACGCATCCCTGTAGGCTAAAATTATCTTGCGAAAATATTAACATTTGCAACTGGACTATAAATGAGGCTAAATCTGTACAAATGAGTCTGGAGTCTTCAAAAACACCGGCATAGAATGATAAACTGGTGTATTCCATAATTAGAACTTACCAGTACAAGCTGTAGGCGTTCCTGACCACTTTCCATCAAGGYSACASGTTCTTGAAAGATCCCCACTGGATCGATAACCTCTTGAGCAGTTGAAGTTACAAGTAACATTGACAATATTCGAAGAAGCTTTATTACCGTCCTTATCAAAGCAGTAACCATTTGGTTCAGCGGCATGATCGACCCTTAAAGATGGGCAGGTGATAGCTGGGGAATAATTAACCATATATACAATTATTAACTTTAGTAACTCRTTGCTAGCAAACCAAACGGCCGACCGACTGATCGACCGACTGACCGACCGACTGACCGACCGACCGACTGACCGACCGATTGACCGACCGATTGACTTAACGATTGATTTGCCTCGCTCGACTTGCCGGTTTGTCATTTGGTCGATTTAGTAGTTTCGATTTGTAAGTATTGTTCATTGTTCGTCGGCATGTCCGTCTGTACGGTTTGTCGTCGGTCAGTCGGTCAGTCGGTCAGTCGGTCAGTTGGTCGGTCGGTCGGTCGGTCGGTCGGTCGGTCGGTCATGGTTGCATATATTCCTATGTAAACTAACCCGCACAAGTAACTGGAGTGCCACTCCAAGTGACTAATGTGTTATTTTTAGGATTAACAATGCATTGTCTTGTAGCATCTCCTAACAACCGATACCCCTCGTYACATTCAAAGGAACACTCGCTGCCCAACGTTGTCTTACAGCTTCCTTTGATAGATCCGTAGAGCGGGTCCACTAAAACTGCGCAGTCTCTTGCTATGAAGAAGAAGAAAATAAGAATAAATTGAATTTATTAATAAATAAATAATTTTTTTTTAACTTGATGAAGGTACTTTTAGGAATACAATTTAATAAGAATACTAGTTGTCGAGATGACAGCGAAACGTTGTCTTTTACAACTAGTTTTTCTTATTAATTTTTTTATTTTTTATTTTTTTGGAAAATAAATTGTCTTTTCTGGGTGTAACAACTCGGATTTGACTCGATCTCAGATTCACCCTCTCTTGTACGATCGATCCTGGGTACTTGGCTATGGGTCTATGGTCCTTGTGGCTGAAAAACATGYTTAGCCCTAATGACGTTTATAAAATTCTTTTAAAAATCTTATTTCATATTGAATTGAATAGCCAAATGTTAAAACTCCTTTGGAAAATACTAAGACAATAAGTGAAAATTAGAATAACAAGAAAACTACCAAAAGGTATTCTGGAAGGTATGAAATAAACGTCATTATGCTTGAGATCTATATTGTCTGACTTCTCCAGGGTTGGAGGAAAAAGGGTCGAGTTGACATTGCAGTACATCGAGGGACACGTTTAGGGGACATTTTAAAGATGGCGTCGATTTCGTTCCCTATAGACCTCTTAACCTTAGGCGTAATATTTCCCCATTCCAGACCACGTGTCATTCCCTAGAGTATCATTTCTTTGTTTAACGCTTGTGCATGAGAAGAATATGGATACAACTCAAGCAAATAATTTCATTCTCAAGAAAATAACGTGTGGATAAAAAGCATTACGCCCGAGGTGAAGAGGGTTATTTCCTTAAAGATTAATGAGAATATAATCAGTAGATATAATCAGCAGAGATTCGATTGTAATGTTGTTGAGCAGTTAAAAGTAGGAACGTCKTATATGGTACATTATTTTATTCCTACCTATGAATGTATTTGGTGTTCCAAGAGTCCGTACAATACATGAAGTACAATACTACTTAAGCCTTGCAATCTAATCTTAACTTTAAGATATTGATATCTTTTGTCTTGTTCTCAGTATATAAACACTCCTTTCTACCACCTCTTTCTCTTTTACTCCGACGAAGGACTAGCGTCCGAAACGTCATTAAGGTTTTTTAAATCTTTTCACGGTATATACGATTTACCCTTTTATCATTATACTGTTTCATTAGAAACACCGACGCAGTTCACACAAGTTTTTAGCTAGTTATCTCTTTTTAAGATATCGAAGGTGGCTCAATTGTACTTACGTTTGCAAGGAGTCAGGTTATTGGGGTTTCCAAAATACCCTGGCATACACTCGCAATCACCATGATGCTTACTGCCATGCTTCTTGTGCGTCGAAAAATCTGGACATTTTGTACACTCCTCGGCATGCCCTTCGAATTCTTTGTACCGCCCGGGTGGACAGGCTGAAAAAGAGAAAATCCCGTGTGAGTGGTGAAAAATCATCATAGTGTATCATCATCATGTATCATCATCATGTATCATCAT